AAATACATGATCCGAGTTTTGGCCTCCCACTGGAGTTGAACTGCCCTCTGCAATCCACCGATGACATCTTCACAAGAATCGTGGCCAAATTCCACCCGCAAAGTTTGCAAGAATCGAAGTACTTTCTCCACATCCTCTGTGAACTCTTGCACTTCCAGCGGGTGGGAAGACTTGTAGTCCCTGTAAGCGACGACTGCCATTCGAACCGTGGCTCCGACTCCCACTGTCTTGCAGATCCGTCTCTGTATTTCTGTGATCTTCTCTTTTGCACCCTCAATACGGCCGCGCATCGAGGTGGTGCTGTCCACAACAAAAGCCACATCAATTGTTTTGGTCTCCTTTGCTCGAATCATTGACTCTGAGATTTCTGCATCAAGCATGGACTCTGCCTTTTTCATCCTTGGTCAGGGCGATGCCACAACCCATCATGCCACACCAGCTGCTACAGAATTAGTGCCAATCTATGTTATACTGTTTTTCACCACGCATCCCAACATCCCTGGAGGGATGGTTGCTGCAAAGCTCAAAGCATTTCTAGGACAATGGTATGTATTTGTGCATAAAGAGGATTCACGATAGAAATTGAAAATTTATATATACTGTACATATATAGCGAACTGATCTGCAAATCTGGGAATGCACTGGACCCTCTGAATCCGGCTAGAAGTCAACTACCTCCAGAGCATCCGATCTCTTGCATGTAGGTTTCAAAGCACCCCAAGGACCCAGAGGTATCTGATCTCTCCATGCAACAAGATCATGAATTGAACAGGCATGTGCCAATTTTGTGTCAGTTGGGAGGGCAGGGCCTCAATCTCTGAATCTAAGGATCCTGATGAAAGCATCAAAGAATCTGCAAGCATGCTTTCTAGTGGCTTGCGCATCCAAACAGGATCTTGGGGTGATTTGCGACATTAAGAAGAGACAGCCCAGCTTTCCAACGAAAGTGCCAAGCATCTTCGAAGCACTTGCGCGCAAGCTCTCCCTGCGACGAGTGCTCCCATTGGTTTGAAGGCACAGCGCCAGTAGCTGCCTGAGGCTGAGCTGAGCAGTCATGCCAAGCCTCGTGGGCACCTGCGGTGATTTGTATTCACAATAGTCTTAGATGGTCCTTTACAATCTGGGCGCTTTGAGAATAGTCACCCCTGTCCAGTAGGGACCGGATGGTACCTGATGGCACACAACAACATGTGCACGAAGCATCGGTCGTTTCCACCGACAAAGATCCTGCCACGTTGCTCCTTCGAAAGGTCTCGAAGTCCTTCCTCAAGGTTTGTGAGGTCGCTCAACTCGGTCATTCTCTTTGGCTAAAGGAAGTGCAAGAGAACAAAGCTGAGATGGTCTTTTTGGGAGCCTAAATCGGCTGCGAAGAGTCAAGTTGAATCTCTCACCTCAAAAAGAGGCACGCAATCAACAAGCAAGCAAGTCAGATGTCATCCAATCCCAACAAAATCTGGGGGTAGTGACCGAAAAGTATTCTTTGTGAACCTTGCATATGAAGAAATCAAATGCAAAATGTCTTCCCATATCTTCCCTTTGCTCTGGAACCAACCTGCTGATTCAATGAGATTCATCACAACCAAAAAAAACATGTGTTCAATCGGGTTCACTGCTCGGAGACTCTTGCAAAGCGAAAAGGTACTGCTGGGACTCGAGGAATCCACATCAAAAGGCGCCTGCTGTGCTCTTCCTGCCATCCGTTCCGCCGTCGGTTCAGCCATTGGGGCGAGCTTCACGCTTCACCGGTTGGGCCTCCGCTAAACGATGGCTGTCGAGGTGCAAAGCCTTCCTGGTCGAACCCGGGCCCCTGGCTACACGAATCCCTAAACCAAGAACGCTACTGGGACACGTGAGATGAGACTTCCAGTGCCCACGTCTTTCGATTCTCAGTGGAATGCCCTTCGCCTACTAAAACGGGTCTTCGACTCGAGTCACTGCCCGCAAGGTGGAGTTGTCTTCATTCACACACATGCATGGGTTTTGTGTCAGGTGTGTCAGGTGTGGAGGGCCTTTCACTGTTTGTAAGAAGGAGGGCACCATGTCGCGTTCCTCGAATGAATTGCGACATGACGCGCCTTTCATCGGGCTCGCATCCCATGGACTCGTCCTCTAAGGTCTTCTGCATCACCACAGCCTTGACAAGTTAAGCGAGAAGGATGACTCGACCTGTTCTGAGTAGGGGAATTGGATAGTTACTCATGCCGTGTATGCCTGAATCTAGGACTCTAAGCGTGCGCTTCAAGTTGCAACTTGCTGGTCCGTGGCCAAAGTGGCTCGGACACTCTCCACTGCTCATCGGATGTTTGTCCTCTCCTTTTCGCCTTGTCTTGCCATCGCACGGATAGGCAAGGACTCTCAATGGTCCACTTAAAATAATAGGAGGCTCTCCAAGCCAAGAAGGGCAACCAAATCCCGACCAAATGGACCATCATATGACATCACAGGTGGATATTTCACCTGAACGCCCCTCTTTGATCCATCCATCAAGGGCACAGTGCAACTGTGACTTGCAAGGACACAAGCGTCTTCTGCGCTCGGACAGTACTACTGCAAGTCCTGGACAAGTTACTTGAGCAGTGCAGTGAATCGTCATCTCTCACTGCACCAAGAACCATTCATGTTCTTCCGCCATCTGGCAGATTTGACATGTTGCTGGAGGTGCACAGCCCTTGGTTTGGATCACATGCATGGAGTACTTGATTGGCCCATTGCAAGACAGGCAATCCGTCACGCTCTCGCTCGCTGTGACTTTCTTGAAGCAAGTGCTGCAATACCTCAAAAAAGCTGTGCAAAGTCTGTGAAGTCACGTATTATGTGTTTGGAAAAGAGAGGACAGGAGTCTTCAGAAGGTAATGTCAACTTCCAGCTGCAGAACTCCCATGTTGCACAGGGTAAAGACTACCAAGTTGAGGCTGCTAGCCCAAGGCTACCTGAGTGGGACCACATCAAGCGAAATGTAGTTTGTTTGTATCTGCAAGGCACACTGTCCCGTAGGTTCTCATCATCTCAAAGTACGATGGCCCAACCGAAAGGACGGCACTGCAAAGATCACATGCCAGTTGATTGGAAGGTGATGGCCCAATTTTCAAGGAAACATGGGAACGATTCGCTAAGCATCTTGGAAGCACTTGCACACAAGCTCTCCCTGCGACGAGCGCTCCCATTGGTGGATTTGATGCATAGCTCCAATAGCTGCCTCAGGCTGAAGCATTCATCGGGGGCCTCGTTGCCTCCTGGAGCCTGGAGTAGGTCCTTCAATAAAACTGTTGTGATGTGAGACAACTTACAGCTGAAACAAGGACACCCCTCCTGCCAAGGTCGTATCCATGGACAAGATGGGCCATAATGCGTGCGTTGAGCGTTCGGTCGTTAAAATATCAGACAGCTACAATGACGCTGTCAAGTTGCTCCTTGGAAAGGTCGCGAAGTCCTTCTTCGAGGTTTGTGAGGTCGCTCAGCTCAGTCATTCTCTTCGGAGGCTTCGGAGGAGTCTCAGAGAACCAACTTGAGATGGCGTTGTTGGAAGCCGAAATGGGCTGCGGAATAGGTGGATCTCTCACCTCCACAAAATGTACACAGTCACAAACTCAGCAAGTCAGATGTCGTCCAATCTCAAGAAACTACGTTCAAATCTGATGCGTTCAGACCTTTGCACTTCAAGATGAAGTCAAAAGGCTTTGCCCTCTTCCAGTCTCCTTCGATATCTCAATTTAGGCTGTGTCTTTCACCTGTGACTGATAATCCTCAAGAAAAGGACATGTCTCAAACGAAAAAATGCTGGACCCAAGGAATCAATGGCACGCTCCACGCCTAATTTCCTCCAGCCGCAATTCGTTCCTTCAGCCCGACTTCGCCAGCCTCGACCCCCCCCCAAGCTACCAGGACATGCAGATGGAGCAAAGCAGCGATTCGGACACCGTGGACTGACTTGTGCCTTGAGTGCCTGGAGCCACCGGACTCCACGACAACAGTACTTGTGGACAGACTTGTTTGAGAATCTCGAAGTGATTTCTTCCTAGGGTAACGTGGGTCACAATGTGGGCCAACTATTTGGACTTTAGAAACCTTTACACACCTTGACACTGCCATCACAAAGCCCTGAGGCGGAAATAGCTTGCTGTTTACATGTATGCTGCGCCGTGTTTGTGTGTACCCAGGCGCTCCTGGACCCTCATATAGAGAGAGATCGTACCCTCATAAGGAGGGGTCTCAAATCCCTAGGTTTTCAGGGACCAAGGAGCTATTTGGAGCTGTTTAGAGCTATTTGGAGCTGGTTTACTCTGCCACCACGCTGCGCTGCTCCAGTTAACCCCCGCACCCCTCCGTGACTTCACCCTGCCTCGCCCCCCCCGGGGTTGGACGACGCCGGCCAGGCTCCATGGCCAGTAGCAGAGCGCAACTGCTACACTTCAGGTATGTCCTTGATGTGTTGTTATGCTCTTTTCGAGGCAGCATTCTGGTGGATAGTCAAGACACATCCTTGAGACATTGGACTCAAAGACTTCTCCACTAGTCCAGCATCTAGGCATCTATTGGAGTGCAGACTGCGGACTGCAGACCCCGGCTGGCAGTGAGGAGGTCTCCCAATGTGTGAACACTTGTCATCTCATCTCCGCTGCTACCCTGTGCAGGAACTCCTTCACTCGACCCAAAGAATGTTCTCTTCGAGCTCTCGACTCGAGCTCTCGAGCGCCAAAACGAGCTGCACGTTCGTTGGAGAGCTTCGCCGTGGGACGAGGTGTGTAATGCCAAGCTTCGGAGAGGCGCCCGATCATGTCTGGATTCCCAGCCAGTCCAGCGACATGCGGAGGAGTGCGCTGAAAGGGAGGACTCGGACAACTCAGCTGACTCTCAATTCTTTGTTTGTTCCAAAAACACCATGGGGGGGAGCCTCTTAGACTCTTAGACAATTGAAACGGTCTTCAAATGAACATCTCTATCAATCCACATCTGGCCGGGCTCGCAGAATGTTTTCCAGAGGGAAAACCGCCGTTCCAAGCCTTCTCAAATGGACGGCCAGTGGCCAAAACGACCTCGGAAGTACTCGGAAGAATAAAAGCCAGTTGGATCCAAGCAAGAAAGTGAAGGATGCACTGGATAGTTACTATATGTGGAGCGAAAAAGGTGCGTTGACACTACCAAGACAGCACCCAAGACATCGGCTCTGCCAACACATCCGGGTTTTGATGTTAGCGTGATATCCTTTGTAGTTCAGCGTATGATGGCACAAGGAAAGTCACTTCTGCATTTGAAACTTGTGCCATCTGCATCTCACCAAACACACCCTCTGTGGTGGGCTGTGACATATGACTAATGGGTGTGGCAAAATGAAACACTTGAATTTCTGGGTCAGTTCATCCGCCAAAGTGCTGCCTTCATTAAAAATACCTCCAAGCCCTTTGTGCATGCCAATCCTCATACCCTTGCAGCCTTTAGACCCCAATAGCCATGCCTCAGAGCCAGCCAACCACAAAAAATCCCAATGATCTGTCCAAAGACATACAAACGCATCATTCACCTTCCCACCCCCTCCTTCGCTTCCACTGATGCTGGCCAAGGCCGTCTACCCGTTCTCGGTGCCCGTGCAGGGATGCCTTGGGCCTTGGGCAGGCTGAGATCATCTGAACTACTTCTCATCTCTGAGGTCCCAGTGTTTTTTTTCTGTCCAAAACGTCCCCCTGCGCGCAGGAAGAGAACCACCAGCCAATTGGAGCCCCAAGTCGCCGTGGCATGTTTGATTGATGTCAAATCGTGTGGGGACATCGATCCTCCTGCGGATGCCACAGACGAACACTTTGTAGGTGAGTGAAGGAAAATTGTCTTCCAAGGGATCCATTTGCAGGGCTTCTATATTATATAAGTGTTGAAGAGGGGAGACTCCCTGATAGGTATCCCAATGTCACTTCTGAGTATGGAGGTTCGCCTACCTCATAAAGTACAAAACCAACGCTAAAAACCATTCTCTGGATACTGTTGAAGGAAGAAATCCAAAAAGAACTGAGGAACTCCAACCCCAATGTCGATTCAGTGGCAGAGCGGCCCATCCTGTCCCTCAAAAATGCTGACAGTCAGTGCCTCACTCTTCATTGCATGGTGGGTAGGTCTGGCTCTTCTTCCACCGTCCTCCAATCCCCTTTCACGCAGGGTCAACACCCATCCCCTACCTCCACGCGCATCAAGACCGAGCACGTGTCGTCGCTGACGCCACCATCGCCGCCTCAGAAAACGGGTCCACGGTCCACGGGCGTTCCCCGAGCTCTACGACCCTCCAGGTGACCAGAGGACAAGGTCTGAATGACCCTGCCAAGGTTCGTGAAGACTTCACTACAAGGGTTGTTGGGCTCCCAAGGGCTGTGGGTCAAAACCTGGAAGCGAAAAACACCCTTGTAGCTTGACTAGACTATGTCTGGTAGTCTGTTCTATTCGGTTTTGACCCACAGATCCCCACCACCTGCAGCCTTTGGGCTTCGGCTACATCTGTACAAACACGCTATATGGGCTGGGACCCTGCGTGAGTCGTGTTGTGAGGCAAGGCTTCGCCCTCACAATTTGATGTTGTCCAAGGAGCCTTTGTTGTTGACACATGCAAGGAACCTGCATCCCAGGCCAGCGTCCAGGAGGGTGTCAAGGGTCATGAATTTCGAGGTCAAGGAACCTGTATTTTCTGGGTTCTATGGGTTCTATCATCATCTAACATCATGCATCTCTCTATCCAACTGATATCCAGAAACACGACCCTCTGACTCGCTGAAATTGGAGCGGAATCATATGTCTTCCGTCCTTCTTCCAAAGGCTGGGCGCACGTGACTTCGCAAGTAGGTTCAGTGAAGCCTGCCCTGGGAGATTGTGTGCTCAAACTTCGGGCTGGATGCCAAACAGGAACCATTTCTGCACACAACTCCACCTGTCAGAAAAATCTTAAGAAAGCATGCTTGGGCATCAAACCCGACACACTCTAAGAACATTATATATTTAAAAAATCGGACATCAAACCGCACTCACTATACATTCCCAAGCACTAGAATCATGCACCTCCACACTCTCTCAGCCCCATTGGTGACCTTCCGGCTTACCTGGGTGCATCCCACGCAGCAAGGTGCCATTGCCATCCACGGCCACCAGCCTGGTGTCGTCCCCACCGGCACGGACGGGGCAGGCGCTTTCCGATGCGGCGCTCCCGAGTGGGTTGGTGGCTGGCATCACCTCAGCTTCAAAAGACTAGGAGCTTTTTCGGGAGATGATGTTGATATCAGCTCATCTGCACCCCTTGACCCTGCAGAATTCACACCTAATCCTCTACATCGGGGCCTTGCCTGCGACCACCAGATGAAGGCCCCGAGAGAACACCCGCGAACCGCCGTGGAGCTCGGTGGAGCGATTCGGCCTCACCCCGTCCCGACCACGAGTGCCGCCACCGGCGGAAAGTGGTTCTCACCCCAAGCAAGCCGCTCTCCCAGGGAAAGTGGACCACGCTCGTGGCCCAGATTAAAACGCCCTGGTTTCAGAGGAAGAAGACGAGAAGAGACTCTTTAAAAGACTGTTTGAAGCGTCCTTGCACCGAGGAGAAACCAAAACATGCAGGGTAAGCCAGGCTCAAGGAGTCCGGTGTTCCAGGCTCAACAAACCAGCACCACACACGGATCTGCACACACACTTGCTTCTATCCACTTTAGAGGCGTCTCCCTCAAGTGAAGATAGATGAACAAGCCTGGGACAAGTGGGTCTTTGTCAAACCAACATCCATATCAATGGATCCCAGCTACCACCATATGAGGAACCCAAACACTCACTCCACCACCGAACGGTCGTCGACCGATCCGCACACGGAACTCGTTCGGTTCGAAAGCTCGGATGGAAATCCGCGGATCGAAATCCGCTCCGCTCGGTGTTCTTTTTCGGCGTTGGCTTGGTCCCAAACAAGAAACAGAAATTGGTCCAAATGGAGCTGGAAAGGAGAGGGCCTCATACCTCGGCCCTCATACCTCCTTTCCATCATCAGATACCCTGAAGGACACGGATCTCAGGCCCTGTCCAAACAAAGAAGACGCTGCAGACTGTTGATAGATCTAGGTATGCTTGAAAGCCATTCCAACTTCAAAGAAGGACCCATTCCGACAAGGTCCTGAGGTCAGGTCGTAATCACAATCCACCTATGGATACCTATGTGGTGCGATCCCTCACCTTTCAGAGGAATCCCTCACCTTACGTCCCACCCGGGACTTCTATCTTCAACAGCCCACAGTCATGTCTCTTAGTCCACAGTCAAAGGCAGAGACTTCAGTCAGCAGGCGCTGCCAAAGTGGTCAACTGTACGGTACTATCGCATTGGGTCATGCAAGTTCGCATGAGCCCTTCCATTGCACAGGTCATGCACAAACATCAAAAGGACACCGGCTGCAAACAAGCTCATTTGCTCCGACATAACATGGTTAAAAAAGAGGCGATCCTCCTGGTATGCCAGCACAGTCTACAGGCTACGAAATGGATGTGTATGTCTGATTCTTTGCATATCTTGGTAGGGCGCCCCCAAGTTGCTTGGGTGGACTATCTTCCGAACCGAACTCATGGGGTGCTTGGCCACGGCGGTCGTGGCCACATCGGCCATTTCGAGCGCAGACGTGGTGTGTCTTCGATGTGTCTTGGTGTCCGTCGGACTTTCATCGATTGAGTCTGTGTGATATTGGTTTGATGAGATGTGTGATACAAGGTACTATCGTGGAAACTTTTGTTGCGGTAGAAATGTAAGAAAGGCGATCAGAAGGAAAGCTGCACGTGCTGCTGTGCCTGACGCCATTCTTTTGGCCAAACAGAAGTCTTGGAAGCTTCAGAGCTTTGTGTCACGTCACGTGTGTTGACATGCGTGACTCTTCAAATGAGATACACTATAATACACTAACCCTCTGGAAAGCCTGTCCTTATCCTCTTCGAGACACGCAGCTGTCACTCTCCAAGACACTCAGCTGTCACTACTCTATATAGTTGTATTAAAGTTGGAATTTCCGGCGATTCCCCACGCTTGGAAAGCATCCGAATCTGCTTCGCATCACCCGAGGATTCGGTGGAAACCATCCCGGCTCTCATCATCTGCGCCACCCTGAAAGACCACTCCAGCGATCGCGGTCTGCGGTCCTTACAGCTGTGCACTTCAGTCAAAAGCCGGGAGCCTATCACACGAATACAGCAGGGTCCGGTGAGCTTCATGGAAAAAGAAGTAGATGATCAATCCATCCATCCTTCCAGGGGAGCTTGGCACCAACGATCCATTGCTAGAACAAGTGAGCCTCCTCACGGACCTTGACTCATTTCAAGCCTCCTGTGCGCCGAGCAGCGCGTTGGCCAGCCGAGCCGTTCATATCCAGCCCACAATCGGTTTCGTTCTGCGCAGAGAAACCCATTTCGTTAGGCCCAACGATTTAAGATCTGTTCGCCAGGTCGGTCGGCATATGCCGTAGAACAGCTGGCAACTCCACCAAAAAGATTTGCTCGAATCTGATCAAACCAACATCACCAAAAAGAAAAAAAATCGCTTGGGAGATGACATCAAGTTTACTTGTGAGATCCTCCGTGCCCTCCGACGGTTCTTGGACGGTCCCAAGTTCGCCGAGCAACGCCATGGGGTCCCTCTCAAGTCTTTCGAAGAAGGCCTCCCAGTTGGTGGGGGGCGCGTGTCGCTCCAGCACACTGGGAGATTGGAGCGCCGGAACGTGTCTTCCGCATGCGCTGGAACACCTGGAGGGCCGCGCCTGGTGGGCCGCGAAGCGCGGAGAGCGAGCGAAGGGACAGGTTTCTGAGTCGGTCACGATCCTGGGGGGACCGGGAAACCCGAAATGGGAAGAAAAGGAAAGTGGTATCACGGTATTAAAGCACTGACTGATGGCATGCTCATCATTGTTTCACCCACGGCTTTCACCAGCACCTTGGACAAGGACCTCTGGAACTGTAGGACCTCTTCGGTTGCAGGGAGGTCCTTGTCTTCATTTCGGCTTTGAACAGACCCCGTTCGGTGTCAACCCTCCGTTTACCCCATGGATTTCCTCACCTTGATCACTGCATCATGCGTCCCTGCTTGGGCGTACTCGAAAGCGATCTTGCCACGTGAGTCCAGCTGCATGGGCTCTGCTCCGAAGCTCAGCAGCTTCTGAGTGATGCCCGGCTGGTTCTGCTTGACCGCTTCGTGCAGGGGAGGTGGCGACTCTTCCGAAACACGCACGGCCTCGGGGGTGGACGCAGTGAAGAAGGACGGACCAGAAAAGGAATCCGAACCACTTGAGCCCACAAGGGATGGTTAATGGATACCCAACAGCTAAGGGGGGTCTCGATAATGGAGACCCTGTCAGGATTTTTGTGGCGCAATCTTTGTTGAGGTTGCATCTTGCTTGGAATCTTCAATGACGATTGCCTACCAATCATTTGGGCAAGACTGAATCTGCAGAACCAAGATTGGCAACGCTCACGATGCTCAGGAACCCAGCCTTTTTCACGCATAAAGTTCACGTCCGGTGGGAAATTGTTGCTCATCAGGAAGCAAATCACCTTTCACGTCCACAATGATCGCCGAGTAGCTAACAGCCAACTGGGAGGCATCTTGAAGTAGAAAGAAAAGTGAATGCCCCTTGAACATGTTTTGACAACCGCTTATCGAATAGGGAAGCAATTTGAACCCTGAGCCATCGAAACAACATCTTCCGCTTATCTTTCCCAAAAAATGCTCAAGAACAGCACACAAGTTGGGTGTTTTGTCCAGGGAGTAACAGGTGACCCCCAAAGGGACATGTCCCAGAATGTGTGTGAAATCCACGACTGCTGAGCTTTTTCTCTGACTTTGCAGCCATTGTCCTAGTCAATCTTGGTCAGGATGTCACACACTTGAGATAAGGAACCCCTTGTCGGAACCCCTTGTCAGACCGGACCACGTCTTCATTTCCGGTCCCACCACTCGCGCTCACCTCAAGTCGATCTTGCTCCAATGCCTGTCGACCTTTGGCAAAGGCCCGGTCAATCTTCCTCTGCTGCCGAACTTGCGCCTTACATGGTGCATGACTTGCCCAAAAGTTGTTAAATCTGTTTTGCCCCCAGTGGTAGTGCACACCACTACAGCAACTTGTTACTTCCAAGCATGACAAAGCACCGAGGCACCGGCACTGCAGCATTGAGCTCGGACACCTCGGGTGCTTCGACGCAGATCGGATCAAAGAGCCGAATCCAGCGGGATCAAAGCGCTGGAACCGCGCGGGAAGCCCCGCGGGAAGCCCCGCGGGTTCCGAGAGTTGGACTCACCCCGCTTCTCTAGGACTCACCTGCCACTAGCCTTTGGGGAGTTCCCCTGGCGCACCGCAGCAAATACAAAGGAGTTCAGCAGAACGTTCCAGGTGCAGTCTTGGAGTTGTTCCACATCCAGCAGCTTGGGGCCAGTGAATTGAAAATGTGATCAATGAAAACATCCTTGGCAAACGCTTTCGCAGTAGTCCGTCTTTAACAAATCCAAGAATTTCACCTCTGACAGTTAAATACGAATGCCCCCAACTATCCAACTGGGTGTTCTGACCTCGAAAACCGTCCGTTGGTCGTGTCCTGAGCCACAACTTCCGCCCAACTTCCCCGGGCCTCTTCCACATTTGTGACTGGCCGGCGTCTTGGTGGGATCAAGGCAAATGACATAACGGGATGAAGGCAACTCCGCGGAAACGGCTGCAAGCAGAAACGGCTCCAAAAGCTTCCCCTTCTAGTGGAATCGTGCATGCCACTTTTAGTGGTTTGGACGTTTGAAGACAAGATACGTATGTTGCTACACGTGTTCCTCGATTAGATAGAATACGGGGGCCCGGGAATGGCCACGTGTTTCCACATCTCGGTCAAAACCCGGGCGGGCGAAACCCGGCGTGCCTGCAAGGAGGCCTAGCTGCCATGGCCCGATGCACCCAGGTCTAGCTGGTCTCTCTAAGTGGCCCGATGCATGTTGGGGTGGACCCCCCAACCGCTGACGGAGGCACCGGTTGGGAGCTGCCTGGCATTCCATTCCACAAGACCTACAAGCCTAGCGGACAGCTTTTCGAGGAATTCGGTCACTGCGAAGACCCCCGAAAAAAGAAATAGCCATGTGCGTGGTCAGCGCACATGAAGGCCAAGAAGAGGTGGATTTCGAGTGTAACCTCCTGGAAAGCAACATGGACCCTTAAAAAGAGGACCCCGGGTTCGACCATCTTCTAAAAAACCACTGATGGGGTCCATGAGTCATGAGTCAGTCGTCTGCTGCAAAGTACCTTCGCAACTTGCTGTGTAACCTGTGTCCACTCCACCTATCTTCACTCCATCAGCTGCCGTTTCACCGTGAGCCAACACGGGCGGTCGCGCTGGGCTTCGTGTTCTCAGTCTTCAGACGGTCCCCAAGTTCAGAAGAAAGACGGGCGTGGAAGACGGGGAAGACAGGCGAGGAGAGGAGGAGAGTCGTGGGGAAGGTGGATCATCCAGCCCCACATGCTGGGAGCAGCCCAGAAGAAGACTTGTCAAAGGTGTCTAGTCTAGGACATATGAGAGTCACGAAGCTGTGACACAGCACAAAATGGGCATCCCAAAAGACTAAGTTGACCTTGATCGACGACCGCTTGGTCATTTGGTCTCAGGATCACCCCCCAGTGAAAAGAACCCACGAGAATTCTTTGACCTTTGCATCAGTTCTCTCATCCCCATCACTTGGGGCATGCCCCACCCAGCTTGACCGCATCCCTTTCTGGAGCAGCCTTCTTTGCGCCCGCCATCCACAGCCGCGAACATCACCGGAGCCACCCTGTTCGTGGCGTTGACCGGAGTCTCACTGCGGATGCGGCAAAGCCAAGGTCCTGGCAAAGGGTTGGGAAGGGAGTTCATAGTTGGATGCAGCTCTTACCCTGTCTTACACCCTGCCTTGCCCTCCATGTAGCAAGTGACTTGGAATGCTGGATCTCGGCAAATGTGTGGAATAAATAGGAACCCCACGGGTACTTTTGAGCAGACCTCAGCAATCCTCTCATCTGCGCCAGAACTTCCAGTTGATGTCCGTCTCATGAAAACCGCCGCGGTGTCTCAAACTTCCACTGTTGAGCAGCATGAAGTTGGCTATACCCTCGCTTCTGTTTGCGAAGCGAGGACTTTGGGCGGTAAAAAGGTGCTCAAAGGAATTACAGTAAGCTTTCCAACCTCCCCAACAAAGCGCTCCGTTCTTGGGAGGTGGCACTCCCAAAAAGACACAAGCGCTATTGGCGGATGGCTTTCCGCAGCACTGGAGGGAAGAGAAGTGTCCTAAAGAAACACAATCTTTGTCAATGGCTTAGTTGAAGTTCAGAAGGAGCTGTGCCAAAGTCTTCTCCCATCTTGACCCCATGACTTCGCTCAGATCTTTCTCTCTCCCAACCTTCAAACGCTCGGATCCTTCTCTTTCCACCAGTCACCACGGGAAAAACACCTCACATCAGGGAACCGCGCCGCGACCACGGCCATGTTGGGATCATGTGCGAGTACCAGGCATGTATGCCTGTCCGCCCAACAAAAGATCCTTTGAAGTCCCTGCAAGGGTTCTTGTTCTGGCCACTTCTATAAAAACGTCCCAAGGAGTGTCTACTCTCAGTTTACCGGCAAATCAAGCATACACTGTGACTTCTAAAACGGGACAAACCCTTTCCCCTTAGAATCCTACGTGCAACATGTCGACACCTAAGTTGCGGTCAGATTTCGACACCTGAAAGCCTTATAAGTATATATTATACATTTAAACGGGTGTGGAAATCTGACCGTGCTGTACCTGCCAGGCAAAATGGACGTGTCAATCCGATCCGCTGTAGACCGCAAGTGTCATGTTGGAACAGAGTAAGAAACGTAAACTTTATATAGGGTTCTTGAAGGGTGCCTTTTGTGTTTTTCAGAAGGTGCTGGAAATATACATGTGTAATTATGTATGATATTCCAATATTTGTTCTTGACTTTACAGCAGGACAACGTTTATGTCGAACCTAACAACATGTATGCCTGTCTGCCCAACAAAAGATCCTTTGAAGTCCCTGCAAGGGTGCTTGTTCTGGCCACTTCTATAAAAACGTCCCAAGGAGTTTCTACTCTCAGTTTACCGGCAAATCAAGCATACACTGTGACTTCTAAAACGGGACAAACCCTTTCCCCTTAGAATCCTACGTGCAACATGTCGACACCTAAGTTGCGGTCAGATTTCGACACCTGAAAGCCTTATAAGTATATATGGGCAACCTTTTTTTTTCACCCTTGAACCCTGTTTTTTTCACCCCGCCCTTTTTTTCCACCCTCCACCTTTCTTTTTCACCCTCTGAACCTGTTTTTTTCCCCCTCGAACCTTCTTTTTTCACCCTCTACCCTTTCTTTTTTGACCCTCGACCCATTCTTTTTCACCCTCCTTCCTTTGCTTGGTGTGTTGGTTGGTTGGCTAGCTTGTTGAAATGCAAACCGAATATCGACAGCCTTTGGGGAAAACACAGGGTTGTGTGGTTTTGGTTGATAGGTTTGTTGGTTGCTCGGTGGGCTACCAATGCAAAGCAAGTATCGACAGCATTTGGGGAAAACACGGCTTGGTTGCTACCCTTTCTTTTTTATCCCACTTCCTTTGGTTGGTGTGTTGGTTGGTTCGGCCTGCTTGGCTTGTTGGTTGCTTGGATTTGGGGAAAACACATACAGTGATGGATGGATCACGGGCAGGGAGAAAAATAAAACTTTTTGGTGGGTTGGTTGCTTGGTTTGCTTGCTGTTGATTGCTTGCGTGATAGAGTGGATGGATGGATGGATGGATGGATGGATGGATGGATGGATGCTCTGTAGGTAAAGGCGGGACGGGGTGCGGGGGAGGGCGCAGCGCCTTCCCCGCAACGCAAACCAAGTACCGACAGCATGTGGGAAAAACAGGGTTGCGTGGTTTGGGTTGCTTGGTTTGTTGGTCGCTTGCTTGTTTGATGGGTGGATGGATGGATGGTCTGTAGATAGTGGCGGGCGGGGATGGATGCATAAATGGATGGAGTGTAAATAAAGGCGGGAGGGGGTGCGGGGAAGGGCGCAGCGCCTCCCCCGCAATGCGAACCAAGTATCGACAGCATGTGGGATCACACAGGGTTGTGTCGTTTTGGTTGCTTGGTTTGTTGGTTGCTTGGTGGGCTACCAATTTGGGGGAAACGTTTGGCTGCTTGGTTTGTTTGCTGCTGGTGGGCTACCCACCCTTTCTTTTTAACTCTCCTTCCTTTGGTTGTTGTGTTGGTTGGTTCAGCCTGCTTGACTTGTCGGTTGCTTGGGTTTGGTGAAGACACATACGGTGATGGATGGATCATGGAGAGGGGGAAGAATGTTACTTTTTGGTGTGGTTGTTTGCTTGCCGTGATTGCTTGCGTGATACAGTGCTTGATGGATATGCAATTTTTCTGTTTGTGTGCTTGGATGGATGGATGGATGGATGGATGGACGGGCGGGCGGGCGGGCGGGCGGACGGACGGACGGATGGATGGATGCTGTGTAAGTCAAGGCGGGAGGGGGTGCGGGGGAGGGCGCAGCGCTACGGGTTGGCTTGGCCGCGTTGTTGCTTGGTTGGTTGGTCGGCTGGTTGGCACTCCGTTGATGGATGCATGGATGGACGGATGCTGTGTAAATGGGGAGGGCGCAGCGCCTCCCCTGCAATGCAAACCAAGCCTCCCCCGCACGGGATTTCTAGTACCTACAGCACTTGGGGAAAACACGGAGTTATGTGGTTCGGTTGCTTGGCTTGGTGGTTGCTTGGTGGGTTTGTTGGCTTGGCCGCGTTGTTGCTTGCTTGGTTGGTTGGTTGGTTGGTTGGTTGGTTGGTTGGTTGGTTGGTTGGCTGGCTGGCTGGCTGGCTGGCTGGCTGGCTGGCTGGGTGGTTGGTTGGTTGGTTGGTTGGTTGGCGCTCCGTTGATTGATGCATGGATGGATGGATGGATGGATCCTGTGCTGCCTCACGTTCCGGAGGCGTCCGGGTCAGTTTCCGGCGGTTCCCGTTGTTCCGGACAATCTCTACGCAGTTTCCGGAGGGTTCCGAAGGGCTAGTAACAAGAAGCTATTGGGGTGAAAACAAAGGGTTTGGCAGGTGCAGGGACAAGCGGTGTGAAACAAACCGGAGGTGACATCGTTCTCTGTGCAGGTTCCATGGGATACCTGCTTCACCGGCGGAGGGTTGAAAAGAAAGGGTCGAGGGTGAAAAAGAAAGGGTGAAGGGTGAAAAAAAACGAGGTGAAGGGTGAAAGAAACATGCTACAGGGTGAAAATGACAGGGTGCAGGGTGAAAATAAAAGGTTTTGGGAGGGTGGAAAAAACAGGTTCCAAAGGGTGGGAAAAAAAGGAATCTTGAGGGTGAAAAAAAAGGTTTCGAGGGTGGGAAAAAAAGGGAGGGTGAAAAAAACATTGTTCGAGGGTGAAAAAAAAAGGGAGCCCAGTATATATTATACATTTAAACGGGTGTGGAAATCTGACCGTGCTGTACCTGCCAGGCAAAATGGACGTGTCAATCCGATCCGCTGTAGACCGCAAGTGTCATGTTGGAACAGAGTAAGAAGCGTAAACTTTATATAGGGTTCTTGAAGTATGAGTCTACGATGTCCATTCAGTCCGCTGACCTGCATGACCTCCCCCTGACCTTGAAGACGAAAGCACGGCACCTTAAATAACTCGTCTTTGCACCAAATGTTCATGGGTTATAATAATGATTATCATAGGATATCATGGGGTCCTTCATAATTAGATCTTAATAGCACGGGAAGTATATGGAAATACCGTGAGAAGCCACCTTCAACCGTCAGATACTGATCTCCTCACCCATTTTCCGCGCACGGTCCGCGGGGTTCAAGTCACCCGAAAGCCACCTGGTCCATCACGTCATGAGTTCGATCTTGTTGTTGATCGGCAACCAGGTCCTACCGGCGCCGGATGGGATTGAGGTGCGTATTTGGTCGTCCGGCCTCGTCGTCCCAGGAACTTCGAACAAACAAATGGGCGGGTGGACAAAGATTACAAGGGATGGAACAAAGGGAGAGGCCTTCACCGACGAAAACGACGAAAGCGCCTGAGGTTCCAGCAAGAACCCGAGCTCAAAGGTGGCGAACAACCTCTTGCACACACAAAACTGAGAGGTTGAACCATGGGGGATGCTCGTTGGAGATGTTTGCCCGGAATTTCGTTCCATCCTTCAGAGACTCCTTGAATGTCTTGCTCCGCCGTTCTTTAGTCCTGAAGAGCTCGTCTCGCTGCTGGCGGCCTGGAGCGTCGCGTCCGCCACGTCCGTCGGCCGTCGGTCGGAGCGGACGTCGGCTTGGTGGACTCACCGAAGTCGAAAGCCGCGAAGTCGGAATGTTGCTTGGAGACTTGGTGGTTTGCTGTTTTACTCCGAGGTTTCTTCCACTCTTCCAAGTTGGGCCACTTTTGAAGGAGATGCACCAGTTCTGATGTGGAATGGACTCAACAAACAAAAGCTCCATCAAACGACCAGCTCGGGTCGGTGATCCATCTACCCCCAAACAACTGAAGCCCCATGCAGAAACAGAATGTGAGCCCAGCAGCGAAGTTTCAGGTGAATGGATTTCACCATGATTTCACAGTCCTCCAAGGTGGAAAAAGATCGTAGACCTGCTCTGACCAGATTCTTTTGTCCACCACTCAATCACAATATGACTTGACGTAAGTGTGGTGCTTCTTTTGCACACCTTGGCCACTCCTTGGCTGACACACAGCCTACCATCCTGAAACGCCCATGTCCCCAGCTCCTGGCCTTCTTCATAGCCCTGCAAGATGCGAAGATCCGGAGGGTCCTGTCCAAACGAAGCAGGTCAGACAGCATCTCAGACGACGTCACCCCTCGGTACCCCCCGTTCCGCCCGAACAAAGCGGCGGCTCCGACCTCGGGCGGAAGGGCTCGTCGTCCCGGGTGGCGACCGGCGGAGGTCGGTGGGCTCCTTGGGCACCACGGCGTTCTCCGGGAGCGGCTTGTCTTCCTTGTCCAGCACCTTTCGGACCTGGAGCGCCAAAACGAGCGGTGCGTTCCGGTGGAGGTGAGGTTTGGTGGTTGGTTGCCGGGTGGTTTGTTGCTGACGAAAGAAGAGGGTCTTTTTTAAGGAGCCTCGTGGAGGGGTGGAGGGTGGAGGCAGGTGGATGAAACAGTGAGTAAAGAAGTAGTCCACCACACCAAGCAAGCTTTGCAATAAGCTGTGCTGCTCTCTTCCATCATTATTGGTTTCATTTGATCTTTACAGTACTGGGAAACGCCTTGTTCTTTCCTCCAAAATCCCCGTGTGTACTGCCAGGGGATGTCCTCACATTGGAAATTAATGTTGAAATGGAATTTATTTCCATTGGCGCAGACCTCTGAAAGAAGGCCATGAAATAAGCCAAGAAGAGGGGGGGTAGTCGTTCATGATCACTATATAACAATAAATTAAATCCTGTCCCCTGACCCCCCCCCTCCTCAATAACAACTTTTAAGTTCATGATTTTTCTCCTGTCTCCTGACCCCCCCCCCTCAATAACAACTTTTAAGCTTACATTGTTTATCCTGTCCCCTGACCCCCCCCCTCAATAACAACTTCTATAACTTCTTAATCTTCTGAACGGGAAGAGGCAGGGGGGATTGGTGAAAGATTGTGAAAGCTAGCGGGGTGGATACCTGTCAAATTTATCGAATTGATGAAGTGTAGCGTTTCCAAAATGCAGCAAGGTTTTCTTTTTCCATCTTGCCAGGTCTTTGGTGCATGCACGGGTTCCTATTTCAATCTACATCAGCGCTTCATCTGGAAATGTGTGTAATTTATTTCCTGAGGTGTCTTACCTGAAGATAGGTATGATAGGTCACATGGTCAGCCCCCATGGAAAAATACTTAAAATTGGGCTTCTTGACTTTTTGAGTCTTTGGTGCTGTGTCTGGAGTGGGGGGTGGTTGTGTGTGGAAAGGTTTGTAATTTATTTCCTGGGGTGTTTTCCTTGAAGATAGGTCATGTCAATGAACATGGTCAGCCCCCATGGACAAAAATTGTTTGACACTT